GAGAGGGAAGAGATCCGGGGGGGTTAGCGAGAGGGGAGACCCCAGGGAGGGGGGGAGTATTCGGGGAGAGGGGACACCCCGGAGGGGGGGATGTGGATAGGGAGAGGGGAGACCCAGGAGGATGCAGGGATAAGGGAGGCTTGGAGGCTGCATTAGAGACCTGAGACCCGGTGGAGGGAAGACCCCAGGGCTGCAAGGGAGAAGGAGTCCCAGAGAGACCTGAGCCCAATGTGCTGCAAAGGGGGAGCAGAGACCCAAGAGCTGCAAGGGAGACCCGACACTCCGGGGGCTGAAGTGGGAGGGGAGACCCAGGGGCTAAAAGAGAGAAGGGTATAGGGACACCTAAGATCTAGGGGCTGCAGTGGAGAGAGGAGTTTGGGAGGCTGTGGAGAACTGGGGACACCCAGGGGTTGCAATGGAGAAGGGAGGTGGAGAGGGGGGAGACCCAGGAGCTGCAAGCAGCCCCACAGTGCCCCGTTCCCTGTCCCTGCTCCCCATCCTCACTGCAGGTCATTTGGGGATGTGTTACCCCTAAACCAGGCGACTGTGCTCCCGGGGAGAGCTGCAGGCTGGCAGCGGGATCAGGTGGATGTCTGTCCTTCTTGGGTGGGAAAGCTGGAAAAACGTGTGACAGATACTCACATGTTTATATCTAGTTCGTATTGCCTATTCCCATCCTCGGGACCGGACTCTTGGAGGCATCGGATGGGAGCGTTTTCTCCGTGCAGGAGCGGGGCTGGCTGCAAACAGCCTGGGGGTGAAGAGAAAAGAGAGCTTTGAGTTAAAAACAGCTCCGGTTTTTAGGAGTCCGCAGGCCACTTGCTGCTGGTTTGATCAGTGACCCAGAGCTCTCCAGAGCTGTAAACATCACGTCTGCCCCAAAGAGTCTCCCTCCCTCCCCTCCCCTTGCAAATTCCTCTTGCAAACGTAACCTGTGCTGGACGGAGTGGAAAAAGGCGTTCTTACCTCCCCAAATAACAGGGCTGAGATTGCAGGCCAAGCTCGCAGCTCTTGGGGTGGGAATGGGGGGTGGTGGTGGTGTGTTAAATCATTTCTATTCCTCCCTGAGAGCTGCTGGGGGGGAAACCCAAACTGTGACTTTTTCAAGGCAGGGAGCGAAGCAGAGGATGATGTTGGCTGCTCAGGGTTAGCAAGAGGGTTTTAGACCATCTGAGACATTTTACACCCGACTCTTGGGTTGTTCAGCAGTTCGCAGGCGGGAGATAAGGGGTCTGAAATATCTAAATGGACACTAAAAGGCACGGACAGGATTAAGGGTTGAAGGTTTCCAGTGTGCTCATGGAGGGGTGGGAAGAAAAGAGCTTCCAGAGATGAAAAGATACAGAAATACCCTGAAACAAGCAGTGTGCTTGGATGCTCCTGGGAGCACTGCCTTCAAGGGACACATCAAACCCAAATCCGAGCGGGCATTAAAGGAAAACAACCCGTGGCGATGAAACCCTGCCTCGCTTGTAGTCAGTTGGAGTTTTGTCTCGGACTTCAAGGGAGCCGGGAACTCGCCCCTAGAGGTTATTAAAATCCTTTATAATAACAGCACTTCTCCAGTAACCCTTTACACCAGGCGCTGGAGTCGGGATAGCCAAAAAGCAGCCTGAACGGAAAAATACGCTGCAGATGGCAGAGAAAACACCCAGAAATGTTCCTTCCCTGCCGACCCACTTGCTCCCCAAATGGGGGTATCGAGGCAGAAAGCTGCAGCTGGGGTAAATCTGGAGTTGGGGGTCGGGTGGGATGTGCTTTTCTCAGGGTCAGGGGTTCCCCAAAGCGATGCTGACGGCTCCAGCCATTCCCGGTCCCATCCCAAACCCCTTTGGGGGGGTGGGGGGGGGCGCAGTCAGGGCTTGGGGATGCCAGCGTGCCATGCGATGGGCTGCGAGACTCCAGAGGTGCAATGTGGCGGGCAGGTTTTTTCTATTTATTTTATTATTGGCTTTCTTGCGGGGTGGGAAACCACTGCAAAGACCACAAAGAGCAGCCCAGAGCAGTGTCTGAAGTGAATAACTGAAGGGAAACCCATTTACTGCTATTAATACCGCTGCTAAAATAAGCAAGCTGTGCCCCGGAGACAGAGAGGACCCCTCTAAGAATTTAAGTCCTGCACCTGGTTTGTTTATTTGTTTGGACTGAAGAAGGGAAAAACAACAAAAAAAAAAAAGGGGGGGGGGGGGGACGGGGGGGACAAGATGATCCTTGAGAGCTTTTGTCTCCTCCTGGCTGCTCCCAGGAGAAAGAAATGTGATTTTATGTTTACGGAGTCGCAGCCCTTTCTGTGAGCTCCAGGTGCCCGAGGACTTGGAAGAAGTGAGAGGCAGAGTTAATGGGGAGCGAAGGAAAGCAGAAGGG